TTCGGCAGTTGGTTCGCGTGTTTGCGTGTGCATGTGCGCGCGTGCCGAGGAGACTGCGTAGTCGGATTCGGCAGCTGGTTCTTGTGTTTGCGTGTTCACGTGCGCGCGTGCCTAGGAGACTGCATCGTTTGATTCGGCAGCTGGTTCGTGTGTTTCTGTGTTCACGTGCGCGCGTACCTAGGAAACTGCATAGTCAGATTCGGCAGCTGGTTCGTGTGTTTGCGTGTGCAGGTGCGCGCGTGCCTAGGAGACTGCATAGTCGGATTTGGCAGCTGGTTCGTGTGTTTGTGTGTGCACGTGCGCGCGTGCCTAGGAGACTGCATAGTCGGATTCGGCAGTTGGTTCGTGTGTTTGCGTGTGCACGTGCGCGCGTGCCTAGGAGACTGCATAGTCGGATTCGGCAGCTGGTTCGTGTGTTTGCGTATGCACGTGCGCGCGTGCCTAGGAGACTGCATAGTCGGATTCGGCAGCTGGTTCGTGTGTTTGTGTGTGCAGGTGCGCACGTGCCTAGGAAACTGCATAGTCGGGTTGGGCATCTTGCAGTGGCGGATCCAGGATTTCGCCGAAGAGGGGGCCCAAGGTATACGCCCCCCCCCCCCCCCCCCCCAAACAAACAAAACAAAACAACAACGACTAAGTCCCGAAGTTGTGAAGAGCTGCTGTATTCCATTCTCACGACATTTTCAAACTGGACTGGAAGTGTTGTCAAGGTGTGGTGTAACTCAGGCATTAGGGCGACACTACTCTACTAGCAGGTATTTGTATGTTACAAAGTTACCACAAATATACATGTAATATTCCGTCGCTGGAACAGTGCTAATACTCTCAGTGGGCTTGGCGTGCGAAACCGGAGATCCAGGCAGAGAACTGTCACTGGAGGAATGACTTGAAATGACTTCACATTCAGGAGCAGGTTCGGGTAATGTCGCAAGTGCAGGAACATTTCCACTCGGCAGCGGCTGCGACGGACCTTTGGACGGCTCTTCAACGCGAGCTCTCTTATCTACCGGTCCACTGAAGAACGACCTGATGTCATACCCTTTCCTCTTCATCGCATATCTGAAGGTAACCCCTTGTCTACAAGCGAAGTAGAGAGAGCGTTTAGTTTCTGACAAGTGAAAAAGAAAAAGGAAGGACGAAGCCGACAGCACGGTACACCGTACAGGACTTCAGCCCAACGCGATCGCTGCACTAGCTGCACTTTGTACCATGTACCAGGCCCTGCATTTTTGGCACGTTTTTCACATGTTTGAAGTGCGGCCGTGTACTCAGGTCGCAGTGCGTACTGTAGTTGTACACAGCGTGCTGGCTAGTGCGTGACACCGGACGGATAAGTACCCAGCACGCGTGACCCACTTGACACGCCAAGTCATTTCGAGCGCTCATTCTACAGTCTACCTGGTCTACTGTAATCCTACATGTAGACCAAGGTCGAAATTGTCAAAGGGGGGGCCCAGGCCCCCTGGGCCCCCCCCTGGATCCGCCACTGTCTTGTTCGTGTGTTTGCGTGTGCACGTGCGCGCGTGCCGAGGAGACTGCATAGTTGGATTCGGCAGCTGGTTCTTGTGTTTGCGTGTTCACGTGCGCGCGTGCCGAGGAGACTGCATAGTCGGATTCGGCAGATGGTTCGTGTGTTTGCGTACGCACGTGCGTGCGTGCCTAGGAGACTGCATAGTCGGATTCGGCAGCTGGTTCGTGTGTTTGCGTGTGCACGTACGCGCGTGCCTAGGAGACTGCATAGTCGGATTCGGCAACCGGTTCGTGTGTTTGCGTGTGCACTTGCGAGTGTGCCTATTAGACTGTATAGTCTGATTCGGCAACTGGTTCGTGCCTAGGAGACTGCATAGTCGGATTCGGCAGCCCGTTCGTGTGTTTGCGTGTGCACGTGCGCGCGTGCCTAGGAGACAGCCTAGGAGACTGCTTAGTCGGATTCGGCAGCTGGTTTTTGTGTTTGCGTGTGTACGTGCGCGCGTGCCTAGGAGACTGCAAAGTCGGATTAGGCAGCCTGTTCGTGTGTTTGCGTGTGCACGTGCGCGTGTGCCTAGGAGACTGCATAGTCGGATTCGGCAGCTGGTTCGTGTGCTTGCGTGTGCACGTGCGCGTGTGCCTAGGAGACTGCCTAGGAGACTGCATACAGTCAACTTCGCTTATAACGACACTCGGCGGGGCATCAAAAAGGTGTCCTTATTCGCGAAGTGTCGTTATACCTTAAGTCTCATTACATGTATTACAGTGGTATGGGACTTTGCTCTGGGCATGGAAATTCTGTCGTTATTCGCGAATTGTCGTTATATCCGCAGTCGTCATTAGCGAAGTTGACTGTGGTCGGATTCGGCAGCTGGTTCGTGTGTTTGTGTGTGCACGTGCGCGTGCCTAGGAGACTGCATACCGTATTTCCGCAAAATAAAAGGCCATCCTCGTATACAACGCCTTCCTCGTATACAAGGCGGGCGCAGGGGGCGATTGGAAAAATAAAAGACTGTCTCCGATTAGAAGACCGGGCCTACTAAATGAGTCTTTGTTCTTGTGTTAAAAATAGAAGACCGTGCTCTATCTGTGGAAAAATAGAAGACCGTGCTCAAACAGTGTAGAAGAAAATGGAAGAACGGGGGTAAAACTGTGTGGCGACAAATAGAAGACCGGGGTCAAACTGGGTTCAAGACCGTCCTCGAATACAAGACCGTTCTCGATTATAAGGCCGGGTTAGGACGAGGTTGAAAAAATAGTAGACCGGCCTACTATTTGTGGAAATACGGTAGTCGGATTCGGCAGCTGGCCCGTGTGTTTGTGTGTGCACGTGCGCGCGTGCCTAGGAGACTGCATTCTAGTCACTGGCATGGTAGTTGTCGGCAGCCGGTTTGTGTGTGCGTGTATGCATGCATGTGTGTGACATCATCTTAAAATAATAATAAAATTATAATAAATTAAGACTTAAAAATAAAATATAATATTTAGCCGTCAGATGAGAAAACAGACCTTATCGCAAAAACTGTACAGTGCAGAAAAGTGCACTTGAAAGTTGGCGAGTTTACCCACTGGTGCGTCTGGACAACCAAGCTACAAACCGTCGTATTTCAGTCAAATATCGGTCTTTCGGGACAATCCAAGTATGTAAATCGAAGAGAAAAGTCCATTGTCTCCGAGTTTTGTGTGAAAGTTATTCAATTTGCTGACGATATTCTATTGTATGTTTGCGGTACGCAGAAGATTGCGCGTAGCAACTCCCTGTCTGCAGCTGTCTCAGCCATTAGTACCTGGCTGTCAAACCGCAATTTAATTCTAAATGCCCGGAAGACACAAGTGCTCTTCCTGTCTACGCCACATATTACTGACCACCAATTTGCAGTCCCTTGTCATGGAGTGCAGCTAAAGCAAGTGACATGTGCAAAGTATCTTGGAATACATTTGGATCAGGATCTTTCTTGGAGGACTCAAGTTGATTCTATGGTCACCAAACTTGCCAGTAAAATTGGTATTCTGTTCCGAAATCGACACAATATTCCGCTGACTTGCCGAGAAACCTTTGTAAAGTGCCTAGTGTTGCCAGATTTTCTATATGTATCAAATTGTTTTTCTGCTGGCCTTTCCTTAACCCAGTTAGGTAGGCTTGAACGAATGCTAAAGCGAGCTTTGCGTTCAATGTACGATACTGGTTTTTGTAGCCCATCAAGCCCTTTATTTGCGAGACTTGGTCTAGATCGTTTGGCATCCATGTATTGCAAGAAATTACTGTATCTGACGTAGCGCTGTTTGGAAGGCCGCTGTAGTGTCATTGAGTCAATTGTTCGAGCGTTTAAATAATGGTCTTGCAACGCGCAGCCTTGTATCACGCACTCTTTAAAAGTTGCCCATGCTCAGAACTGCCTTTGCCCCTCATGGCGCTTCCTTCCAATGTGCTAAGCTGTGGAATTATCTACACCCTCTAGCTCGCTGTGTGGATAACTCCGCCCGTTTTAAGAAACTGTTACCCCAATGCCTTGCTTTTTCACGCTAGTACTTATGATTTTCAGCTATGCAAAATGCGAACATCATCACCTACCCAATACCGGTAGTCTATTATATTAATTGTTCATATCTTTTTGCATCTTTCCCTCGAGTGGGTCTATTGTTATTAGGCAATTGTCTGTTATAGTCGCCACTATAAATAAAAATCCAATCCAATCCAATCCAAAACTCCAAGGAATCCAATACAGCATGCGCGATCGCGGCACGATGCTGCGTTCCCGAGATGCGAAGCCTGCAAGATACGTCACGGCACTTTGCATTTCTACACGCGAGTCAAACGCTCCAGACCTGGTAGTACAGGAGCCAAGTGGGCAAAATGTGACTTCCCGTTCCCGCTTGGGGTGTACCACGATTTTTTTGCTAATATGATAGAGGAGCATACGTAGATGATGTTTCCACTTGTTATCATTCTCAGAACTTTCTGAAAGGTTGTGAAAAATGCAATTGAAATTGCCTTTAGTTACCATGCCAACTGACCACAAAAATCGATTTTCTATTACTTTCATCCCGGAAATTTCTATCTGCCAAACAACTACATAAAATATTTGAAGCACCCCAGAGCATTTTTCGAACTTGGTTACCATGGTAACCAATGGTAACCAAGAACAAACATCATAGCAACAGCATGGCAACACTGTAATAATAGCGCAGAAACAGTTACGATTCTTACGAAACATTAATAATGGGTAGGACTGATGTTATCAATCCTGGAATATTACTCAATCTGCGGACAGAACTGTTTCGTCCTTTGTGGACTCGTGTTTCGTCCTTTGTGGACTCGTCAGCGCAGCACAGAGCCTGAGGAAATGAGGCCGAGCCTGATAGCAATGGAAGTAAAAATTTCCAATCAGGCCCGAACGTACCGTGCCAGAGTGCTCAAACTGACAAGTCAGTGAGCTCTGCATAACGCAAACAGCAAAGGCACTACCCCACGCAAGAGTGCTCAACTGCTACAAGAGCAGGAGCGAAATACTCAATCTGCGGACAGAACTGTTTCGTCCTTTGTGGACTCGTCAGCGCAGCACAGAGGAAATGAGGCCGAGCCTGATAGCAATGGAAATAAAAATTTCCAATCAGGCCCGAACGTACCGTGCCAGAGTGCTCAAATCCTGGAATATTATATATATATTATGGATTAGAAGCATGCCTTGAAATAACTTATCTGGAAAGACTTTCATGCAATGGGTGCACCACTACGCCCCGTTTCATGAATGCAGAGGACAGACCGTTTCGATTGGCCATGTATTAGCATTGATTGAGCTGCTTAAACGCATGGCAACGATTGAGTACAAGCAGCCACAGGCAATAGCTCAGCAGCAGGGCTCAGACACAGCGATCAGAGAAAAGAACTTGAAAACAAGAAATGATTTGAGAGAGAAAGAACAAACAATGCATGATAGACATTGTCCTCGAGTAACTGGACTACTGGCATCAAATCAATAGGTCGTCTCTCAAAGTTTTGCAGTTGGAATGCATGGCTGCACACACTACAGATAGATTAGTAATACATGATGTACATTACCAGAATCCGTAAACTGTACCCTAGAGTCTGATGTACTTTGAATGACACATAACATAGCCAGCCAGAGTAGCAGTATCAGAGGAAACATCACGGAAGACAACGACTACTGCAGTTCACTTAGGCTCATTACAGATATTATTCTGTGATTGTTATCAACATGAAAATATACAAGTAAACAGTGTGGAAAGAGTGTGTGGCATGATCGAATGGGCCTACCAGGTTGCCAGGGCAAGTACAGTCTGTAGGCAGTTAAACAGATAGAAATGTTACACCAATGCTGCAACACGATGACAGCTGACAGCTGTGGTGATGGAGATCTTGGACCAGGCATGTGTAGTAATCCAACGGCTCTGTAACATAACAAACAAAAGACAAGGTGGATCAGATATATTACCCGTGACTGCCTGCAGCCAAGGAAGTTCAACACAAATAAGAGGTACCCAGCCTGGATGAAGATTAGACAATAATATTACTCACACTGGACAGTGTCGTCATCTTCTTGAATTATGGGATGACCTGACTCCTCGCGGTTGCTACACTCGCTACTGCATCCACAAACATCCGTGCAGGGAAGGGATTGGCTGCGGCATGAGCATCTATTCCCTTGGCAGCCGGTCTTGCAGGAACACTTCACAAATTCCAAGATTGCTTGTGGTGCTGCAGCTACCGAGAGCCAATCAATGCGCAGCTGGCCATTGGACAGCTGCCAACCATGGCTTCCAGCGTACGCTTCAGGGACAGGGGGCTGGGCTTCTAGAGCACGTCACCAAACAGCCGCCTGGAAGTTGGCCCTTGCTGCGTGTTTACGCAGAGCATCGTGGCATGGGGGCAGTCTGCTCGAATCCTTGGCGTTATCCAGCAAGCAAAACAACTCGTACCGTAAGCTGTTAACGCTTGACTGGTTTGACCAGCCATACAGCATGCAGACAAACCGCTCGATTTCTGCCATGGCGCCTGCTGACAGCGGGTTGAAGGCTTTGCCAAGTTCGGCCATTGAACTTCGTGCCAGGTCTCCCTTGCTTCCATCACTGGTCAGGAGCTGATAAGCGCTGGTCTTGCCCTTTCCGTGGAACGCACTGACCGTATCGCACCCGGTAAAGGCATGCATGCCGATCAGTGCGTCACACACGGAAGTGCCTAGCGCAGAGCCAATCTTTGAGAGATTCAGGAGCAGGACTTTGCTCCTAGAACCAGGCAGAAACAGGAGCTTCATACTGTCAGGGAAGCGGTGGCTCAGTCCGCAACCCAGAACCGCTACGTCCGTGTCCGGCGACTTGATCGTGACCGAAGTATAGCCTTCTGCAAAAGCATCACGAGCGTGCAGCAGAAGCCGAGTGTCTGCCTCTTCATGTGAGCAGTTCAGCCGTAAGCACTCTGTTGCTGTGGTGGTGAGGCCATCAGGTGACACTAGCTTGACGCAGCTGATACCGTCTGTTGCGTACAGCTGTCTAGCTTTCAGGTGGCTGGCGTAGGCATCGGTGGACCATTCCGTAACAAGGAAGCTAACAAGCTCAGTCTTGCTGCTGCCACTTGACAAGAACTTAGCCCATTGCTTCGGCGTGTGCTGCTGTCCACTTGAGATTCTTAGCCGGATCTCACCATGCGATTGCGCTCGTCGACTTCGCTCAACATCTTTGATGGAGTATTCTGGATACGTATCAGCTACAAAGTCGATTCGGCGAAACTGCGGGAAATTCCTCGAGAGGCACATAAACACATGCTTTGCCAGTTCTCCGAGCGTACCTGGCAAGGAAGTCGGCTTCAGGGTCCGTAGCAGAGCCATGGCATCGACGATTAACGCAGCCGAAGATGGAGGTGCTGGCTCATGGCTGGTACAATCCGTCTTGCTGAGGAGCTGCAACAGTGCGGCCTTGTTTGTTTTCACCATGGTGCCTTCTGCAGTGCATAGCGACAAGGGCGCAGCTGAAAGCGGATATGCAAGAACCTCACGAATGTCAAGATGACACTGCTGGGCAATAACAGCCATCTTACTGAACAGGGCACAATCCGCCTTGAGCACTGCTACCTTCAACGCACTACGGGTGGTGGTACGTCCTTGCGGACGGCAAGCGTGCTTAGCTTCAGCTTCTGGATGGGGTCGTGGAACTTGTCACACTGGTCGACAACGCGATTCTTGATGCATCTTTGAAATGCTTCCTTTCCCTGCTGTTCTGCTTCAAGCAAGTCCTTCGTGGTCTGCTCGGAGCACATCAAACCAGACGAGAGGTTGACCAAGTCGGCAGAATCCCTATCCAGCGTTTCGTCACCAAAGGGGTTGACCCAGCCACATATCGTTGCCTCCACACGTTGCACATCATCCTCATCTCTGGACATGCGTGGCACATCATCCTCATCTCTGGATGACACTCTTTGTGCAACACATCAGCCTCACGGGACCAGTCGTCAAGTCCACAGAGCTGAAGACAGGAATCTGCAAATCGTGCACGATCATGCACCGTCATGACCCAGCGTTGTACAGCAGATGGGTTCAAGCTGATGCCGATGATACCACCTGTTGTTTTTGACGAGCGATTGATGGTCTGCTCAATGGCCAGATCTGAGGCTACTTGAGCAAAGGGGTTTTCAGATCTCTGGACAACAAATCCGCCCGATTCCAGGAATGCAGCAGCCTCTGGGTTGGTTGTTGGCAGTTGCAGCATCTGCAGCTAGTACAGACTCATGTAGCGCGCATCATTGTGGCGGTTGTAAGCAAAACACCAAAGTAGTATGCGACCGATGCACTGTAGATGGAGCTGCCAACTACCGATACACATTGAGCGTATGAACATGATTAGGAGAACCACTAGATCGATGTAACTGGACCAAAAGCAGAACATAGCGGAGGCATTATTCCGCTGGCAGCAAAACTTGTCATACTCCTGCCACAGCTGTTGGAAATCTTTGCTGCCCAATAGCTGGCTGGCATTGTCGAGGCTGATGAAGTTCCGCAACTCAAGCAGGCCGCTCTTGATCTGAAGGGTTGACAACCACTCAGGACGGGAATCACACAAATGATCGATGAAGGAGCGCCATCGCAATCGCTGGAGAGCTTCATAGACCAATTTATGGAAGCGCACCGCCCGGCTGTACTGCTTTCCACTCAGCGCTAAACCTGCTGTTGAGGATCCAGCCACATCAGCTTCTACCAACGGGTTGAGTAGGCCACCATCGGAGAAACGCTTTCCAATGATTGCAAGCAGTGTCATGCAGATATGGAAACCGCCCATCCTCAGAACAACGTCACTAAACTCAGATGTCCTCTGCAATACAATGTCTGTGGTCTTCGCATAAATTGCTTGGTCCAAGACAATCACACAGAATGGGAGCTCAGCCTTCCGAGTCATGGACACTGACTGTGACAGTAGCGCATATACTGTGGCACTGTCGGTTGGCGATGCACTGATCACAGGACAATCTTTCACTGCAGTTGGGTGTCCAACATCTCCACTTGGGCACATTCTGGCAAGAATCCACAGGAAATCAATGAGTGCTGGCTGAACTCCATTGACCTGGGTGGTAATAGCGAGGTTGAAGTCAGATGGCATGGCCATGGGTGGTGGATTGACCTTATTTCCCGAGGGAAACACTGGTAATATCATTGGATGTGTTGGCAGGGAACGCTTACGCTTTGATGAGCGAACAGCAGAGACTGGCGTGGAGTTGATGAGGCTGTCATCAGGGACATTTCCTTGTTGTATAACAATACCATTCGTACAGTGCGTTGTGCCTTTTCCAGACAAACTCTCCTCACACAAGTCGCTGTTGTCCCAAACGAAATGGAATGGCCGTTTCGGGTCGACAACTTGTGGGAGAGAGATTTCGTTCGCATTCAGGGCATGCTGGGTTGCAAGACTCGTCTCGATCTCTTGCACTTGACTATACAAGCTGCAGTGTCCAAGGCGGTTGAGAACGGTGACAACTAGCTTGCTGCGAAATAAGTGGTGCAGGGCCATGGCTAGAGTGGTGTGCTTCTTGGTTGGGTAGGCAGTGGCCGAGAAGACAATATCATTGCCAGTAGAGGAGATACGACGTGCAGTATGGTCATCAAGATTTGCCGTCCGCTTGGTGCTGAACTCGATGCTGCCTTTGTCTGCTATTACCCATGTAAGAAGGTTAAAGAGAACGTCGGGAACTACATCAACATCTGTAGTAGAAAAATAAGAGCACAGCAAAATTGCCCAATGTTGTGAAAATTGCAACACTATTTCTGACTGAAATTGAAATCAGTACAAACATAATTTGTTATATTCCAGAATAAGCTAATGACAATGATTTCCAATATTGTCATCTAGAAATAGCATTTCATGGAATGAGCACTATAGTTCTGTACAGAGTTTGGATGTACTATTGTATTGCAGTTATGTCTACTAATTTCTCAGAATGTCAAAAGGGCATATACAATACGCAGTGCACCCATGGCCAGCAATCAAGGACATCTGAGAGTTGTAATTTTTGTACTCCTCCGAGGTGTGATTTTTGGCGTGCTGGGCCAAGCACAAGGAAGCCATCTGCAAAAAAACTGCAGAAAATGGTTGTTGTTTGATCCTTTGGTGTAATCTTTGTTTCTAGTCGAAGCTAGTTGCTGTTTGGAGCAGAAACGCTGAAGTTGACTATTTTCTGCATGTACTCATACATGTACTCATGTACTCAGGCATGCAGTCTCACTCGTATTTTAGCTATTTTTCTGGAATGGATGCTGCTCTGCGCCCCTTGGTGAACATTTCCTGCGCTCGTGGAGCAGCTGAAAAGGACCACTGGTATGTCTGGTTCCTGGTTTGAAAGTGGAGAGTCGACTTTTGTGCCTTGAAAAAGGAGTAGAGAGCGATAAAGGTACGTCTGTGGCTGATTTTTGAGTGCTCCTCGTACATTTTTGATCGTGATAGAAATTCTCAGACCAAAGTCAGACCAAAGTCAGCGCGATGATGGTCGTACAGTTTTCTTGTGAATTTTTTAGTTGTTTCATCTCGTATGTATGTCAGTATCGTGATGGTGAAGTGGAGAGGGTGATTTTCTTCCTCTAGGCTTCGTTCGGCCGACTTTGCTTCGTCCTCGTTGAAAAGTGATCCTGAAAAAAAGGTCGATTCGCAAAATTATGTTGATTTTCAATGTACGAGATGACATGCGATTGCTGGCTATGCATTTCTATGCATGTTGATTACCATAGCTACTTCAGTAGTCACTCACCTGATTGTGACTTCTTGCCTGTTGATACAGTTGTGTCTACTTCTCGGCGAATTATTAGTGCTGCATGGTAGATGATGCGCCACTCCTCAAGTCCGCATTCATTGCCTGCCAAGGGTCCATCAGGCGTGCTTGAAGGTGGTGCCTCTTTGGCTGGAGGACCATGGCTATCAGCAGCGCCCTCCTCAGGGATCAAGAATGCGCAATCATCATTAGCAACATCAGTATCACTCCTATCATCACCATCGTCATCACCTTCGTCATCACCTTCGTCACTGTTACAGCTGTAGCAATCATCACTATCATCGCCATCATGACGATGTTGGCTAACCGACTCTCGTAGAAGTTCCTGACTGTACTGGGTTGCGAACACCTGTTCAGGTTCATTGGCGGCTGGGCCTGATGAACTGCACACTCTCTCTGAAATGCCTCTTGATGTGGGCTTTAAGTTTGTCCTTGCGGACATTACTGAGAACTCCTGCAGCGCTGAAGCAACCATCGTACTGTCGCTTCAAGTCTGCCATAGACAAGCGCATCTTCTTCTTTATCAGTTGGCTTTCCAGTAGTGCGAAGAAATTGGCCTCAACATCCGAAATATTGCTCTTGGCTTTGCAGGATTTCGTCTTTGCAAGGGCATCCAGAGATTTCTGACGGGTGAACTCATTATAGCATAGCTTGTGATAACGAACTTCTCGAGAAATCAAACTGGATAACGCTCCAACTGCTATCTTTACTCGTTCATCGTCTCTCAAATCAGCTGCCAACAAAATCTTCTCCGCAGCATTTTCGCTTTGACACAATGACGTTGTCTGATACTGGTTCTTCTTTCCAGGGAGCCGTCTCTTAGCTTTCCCACAGAAGACACAATCAATATTTCCTGGCTTGACTTGCGGAACTTTCAAGCTCTGTCTTGTTGTCGGTCTGGTAGCTGTGCTTGTGGTGCTCGCATATGCAGACGGTGAATCTGCAGCGGAGTCTACATGCAGGGGCCAATACAAACACATAGTCTACATGCAGGGGCCAATACAAACAAATGGAGAACAAACTTTAGACACTGATAATTCAAGAGCAACACCCACATGACCAACACCCACATGACTAACAACCACGTGACCAACAACCACGTGACCAACACCCACGTGACCAACAACCACGTGACCAACAACCACGTGACCAACACCCACGTGACCAACAACCACGTGACCAACAACCACGTGACCAACAACCACGTGACCAACACCCACGTGACCAACAACCACGTGACCAACAACCACGTGACCAACAACCACGTGACCAACACCCACGTGACCAACAACCACGTGACCAACAACCACGTGACCAACAACCACGTGACCAACACCCACGTGACCAACAACCACGTGACCAACAACCACGTGACCAACAACCACGTGACCAACACCCACGTGACCAACACCCACGTGACCAACAACCACGTGACCAACAACCACGTGACCAACAACCACGTGACCAACAACCACGTGACCAACACCCACGTGACCAACAACCACGTGACCAACAACCACGTGACCAACAACCACGTGACCAACACCCACGTGACCAACAACCACGTGACCAACACACACGTGACCAACAACCACGTGACCAACACACACAAAACAGAATTATGCATGTGATTATGCGGACTTCAAAATACCTTTTGACAACCCCTTGGTATAGACCTAAAAGTCTTCTTGTGAGTACTGCAAATACATAATAGCGCACAGTTGCCACGGGCTTCTAAATCCCCATCGAATCGTGTTTGCAGTGTTTGCAATGGGCGAATGCATCTGTACATTGTTGTACGTGTCATACGTTTATGTCAGCGGGCTGGCACAGCCCAGCGGTTGTAAGGACAGCGTGCATCACCAAAACATAACGCATCTATTTATGTAAATAGAGAGGTTAAGTTACACG